CATCCCAACCATAAGTCTCTTGCTGCCCGGTCGGAAGAGCGGTAAGAGCCGACTTGGCCATTTAGATTTATCGGAACTTAGGCTCCATAACGATCCTTCTGGATCGGTACCCTCGGCAGCTTGTTCCAGAATTTCTTTTGGTACCCGCAATGTCTTACACGTATACAGAAATACAGGGTCTGCAGACCGAAGAACACTGGCTATGGGCTCATTCGGTTCAACCTCGACGGTGATTTCCCAGAACGGCCGACCTAGCTCATACTCGACTTTGAAGTGATAGTTTGGGTCACTTTCACGGCGAGCTAGGTGTTTGTCGACCATTGCTTCATAGATCTCTTCTTCGTCGTCCTCTGCTTGGTCGACTTCTACCACTTCGGTTTCTTCTTGGTTTGTGTCCGCTTGGTTGGCCTCTGCCTCCTCGATCTCTGCCTCTTCGGCCTTTATTCTGTCAAACTGAGGCAGACGGTATTTGTAGAGCATGAATAGTCGTTCTCGCAACAGTTTTTGCTCGTCCTCCGACGTTCCGTAAATTCCTTCATATCGTCCTCTACCGTACGGATCGTAGACTGTGAGCCAAAAGAGATCGTGCTCGTCGCCGGGCATATTGATGAAAGGGCGAGTCGTTTGCGCAGACCTTGTACAGGTTCGTTTATGTTCGTGGTAAAGCGTTGTTGATAATGTCTATACAGTGTTTGGGAAGGCAGGACTCCCCTTTTATACGAAAGCTTGAGTCACGCTCAGTGACTAGATATAGACTGACTCCAAGGTCAGTCAGAATGTAGGCCTAGTCATATGTGACTCTGACAGTCTTATGATGTCTACTGTCTGCGTTGCAGACACCGTGGCAATGGAACTCCCTCCGTATGTCGCAACGTAACGGGTACGTGTTCTAGCATTACTTCAGACGAAACAGGATCAATATAGAATGCACTTCCTCACTGCCTAACCACAGGCTGTTCCTTACAATGCGCAAGTCGTACATATAGAGAACAACACAACAACGAGAACGGATATGTCGCTGGGCTACAATTCCAGTGGAAAGGCCTCTTCCTTTCCCATCATCCATGGTACATCTGAGTGGGTGCTGTGACGAGATCATACCAGCGTCACCTTTGGTAGTAAACAAGACTCATAAGTTGATTGCTGAATGTTTGCGTTTTCCGATACGTGCGCACGCAGGTCATCGTAGGCCTCGTCGGCGGGTTGAGTGTGGACAGACCTTTTCTCGGAAAGGTTTTATCGGCCATTCACGTATTGAGATCTATCATGTCACTTGATAATACAAGTATGGTAAGATATCTCATTAGAGCTACCTGGTTCTTTGCTACTTATTATGCTATATACTGAATTTTTACCTGTCGAAGGATGCTATACATGTCCATGCTGCTGTAGATTACTCCGTTTTCTCGGCAAATCCTGTCACTGGAGCATATTTGCCCTCCACATATGCTTCGGGCCATTCACAAACCATATACAATCTCACTAACACATGACACTTCTGCTATTCATGGGTAGCGAAAACACGGAGAAAATGTACTATCTACCTACTGTAGTCCCTTCTCGAGATCTTCCCATCTAAACATCTTGACCCACAAGTATGATTGAGCTCATATCGCAAACTGGCTAATCCACTGATGGTGGTACAGCATACACCAGAGTGTGGTTAAGCATAATCACCCCCTATAAGGCTCACCCTTCTCCTTCGGAAGAGCCTCGCAGATTGCTCGATGTTCCGGCTGACCTGCCGTCGGCAGTCCTGGATGATCGACTTGCTCAGGATCAATATCGAACTCTTCAACCTCATGCTTACACTCTAGCTGTTCCGCGTACTCGATAGCATCCTCCCGGTTCAGAAAGACTTCCATACTCTCAACTTTCATTCCCGTAAACTGCAAACTGCGGTACCTTTCCATACGAAGTTCTCTTGCGACGACCGCGGGCAAGCTCTTGTGTGTAGGGTAGTGCTGTTCCAAAATATGTTCAGGAATTCTGTTGACGGTTACGGTGTACAAACTCAGTTTTGCCGGCTCTCTTTTGAAGTCTTCGGGAGATTGCTTCGCTTGACTCAAGAGGATTTCGTCTAACTCGTCAGTAACCTTCCCCTGGAAGTCTTTGTCTGGCATTGAACTAATCTGTAATTGCTTTTCTTCGAAAGCCTTGGTATCGTTAGACCATAGTGCAAGCTCCTGAACGGATTTAGGGTTGTTGAACAAATCGTCGCATGCGCGGTGGAGACGCTGCCGGCATTCAAATCCTGCTCAAGGGCCTTGATTGACGGCTTCAGGATACAGGTTGAGCATATGTTGGGTAAAGCGACTCCTCTCGCGCTCTCGGCAGTCTGCGCTAATGCTGAAGACTCCACTAATGGACATCTTGTATGTTGGTCTTCCCACATTGTCGACAATGATCCAATACGTGGCCTTGTCCTGCGTTTCTTGCTCACTGGACATCTTGAAGAGAAATGAGGTTGATACACGGGTAGTTCTAGCTCCGAAGACAGTCTCTGAGATGATGTGGCAGTAGATTATGATGAAGCAGGCCTCAGTGACGTGAAAGAAACACAGTGAGCTCTATCTGCTAAAAGATTTACGCCATTTCTACTTCTCCAAACTAGGAGTTTGCTGCAGCAAGCCCTCTGATAAGGTGATCTTGCAAATGCTACAGTGTCACTGGTCATGCGAGTGTCGCAACCTACAGTATACACCGATGCCCGCAACAAATGGGTTTAATTTTTAATTTCTATGCATCACCGCCACGTAAATGCCCAGTTTTATTAGCCCACATCCTCCTTCGTGCAAACCGAATATTTGCATAAACCAAAGATAAGATTCATATATCTAAACATCAGCCTAGTTGATAGATTGCACTCTTAAAACCAGGCAGTTCCCATGCTACATATTCCGCCAAATACCCTTCAGGAGTCTACTCTCTGAGTATGCCGTAGAGGAACAGGCTCCTCCTGGAGCGGTCTCTTCCACCTCAAAGCTATCGCAATCATACCGTATACCGAATCACAATATCAATGACCCAGCCTAACCCAGGACCAGACCGCAGTCTGGGTCAAAGGCGCACTTTAGTCTCTCACATGTTTCTCACAGGTGTCTTCCAGCATTCCCTCCCCTCTTTGCTGATGTATAAGTGATTCACCACGAGCAACTCTTCCCAGCCTTGTTCCTCACTTGGGTAGGTGCAACTGTACTCAAATTCGGTTTCGCCTAGATCGGTCTCCATTTTTGCGTTAAAGGGAAGCCAGGATTCAGTTTTAGCGATCTTCTTCGCGTACTTTACAGCCTCTGCTCGGTCTTGGAATGTTTCCAAATTACCGATGGCCTTTCTATTCGCCTCTGGGCCCAGTTCTTCGTAAAACATTTTGTGGTGCTCTGGCCACACTTTTCGGAGATCCTCACGGAGATTTTTTTTTATTGTTTCGAACTGCCCATGATTGATCCACCAGTGGTCGAACGCCTTATTGGACCACCTCCTTCTCAATACTGTATATAGATCAAGACCTTTTCCATATGGCTTCTTTGGCAGTCCCAGGCTGCCAGGGTCTTCACCAGCGATCAGTTTCTTCAATGATTTTGCTGTCTCGTCCTGGGTCGCTCTCTCCTCGTGGATCGCTCCCTCCACGCTTATCCAGCCCCACCCAAGCCAATCAAGACTGTTGCCTTCAAGGAAACTGATCCTCTGTCGTTCACCCGTATCAAGCAGCTTGATGAAGGCCTTTTCGATGACGTCGACGTCGGTTTCGTTTCTGAAGAACGTCGTGGCTTGTCCATAAGTAGCTCGCTCGTCTTTCGTATGGTGATTGTCCAAGTCACCACGGAAGACTTTTGCTTCGTGGTCTCGGTCCGATTTAGCATTGCTGTAAGGCCCATGGCGGACCAATTTAGGCAGGTGGGCTTCATAGTCTCTCTCTGCGACAATCCATATGATAGAATCCTGGTTGTCTGAGCTCGACATCGCGGATCTAAGTAGGCAGATTGTTGGATATGATAGATCTTGTATGGCAAAGTAGTAAGTTGAGAATGTTTGTAATTGATAGACTTGACTTGCAGAATCCTGGACGCTTTTTATACTTTTACAAACCCTGAGTCTACCTTTAGTGGAGCTTCTTCTCTCTTCACTTTAGTACTCATAGATACAGTCTCCGACTCACAGTGCTGAGCCCGCACGTTGTACGCGAGAATGACTATGCCGCACACTGAGCAATAGATGTCCCATGAACTGCCAAAAACGTCCGGGCGAGAACTCTGAGCCATATACTCAGAGAGTCATGATCTCACGCGGCCAGTAACGTGAAAGTGATACTCCATATATGAGTCCACGATGTAGGCCCGGTTCACGAGAACTCCAACGTACGTCGCACAAACTCCACTTGATATTCGCTCATTGCTCATCGTGTCCGCTCGACTCAGCAGATGTGTCACATCGCTATCAGGCACAGACGTGTTTTCTTTGTTCGCATGACGGAACCGTGTTGTGTACCACCGAGGCAGCCGCTTTGCCGTCGTACGCACGAATTAGTCAGGGCCATGATTCAGACCTGAAAGTAACTGTGGAGAGGCCTGATATTTGACTCCAGTCTCGTAGGTGGGGTTCATGATGGCTCAATGGCAGGGGTACCCATGATGTCCCTACCAGACGCACTGTTCGCTTCCTCAAGTGTGCAGTGCGATGGGCTCTGCGGTATTATGTCTGTTCGATATATGCTGTCGGTATAGATGTCGCCGAATAGATGATGAAAGTCACGTAGTGAGTGCGCATCGTGATGTTCGTGAGTTCGGTTTGGTCATGGTGTAGTTGGGACGTCGGAACCGTCCACGCAGGGTTGACGCGACTTCGCGCTAGCCGAATGAAGCCACCACGCGTCATCTGCAAATAGGTACCAGCAAACATCACATGCAGAATCCCATTCGTTGCTTGCACATCAAGGTTTCAACTAGAATTATATTATATGTACTAATATAGCCTATACAAGAGCAAAGTGCAATTCCCCATCAGTCCTCGAAAGTGAGAGTGTAGTCATCCTTTCGCTCATTCCCACTCGCAACCACCTTCGTGATCCAGGACATACTTTCGAACGTATCATCACCCGCCAATTTCCCAGTGACATTGACTCCGAACCGATTAATGGGTCCATACCGGTACCCATGGGTCTTAGAGTTGGGTATAGTCTGCTTCTTGACCTCTTCGACTGCATCCTTCACATTGAGGAAAGTGCTGACCTTATGTCCGATGAAGTACTCAAGTTCGCCTGATTGGACAATTTGATAGAAATTTTCGCCATCAATTATACGGCGTCCGTCACGGGCTTTTCGAACCTTTGCTTCGTCGTCCTCCGTTTCCTCATCGTCGACCATTTCCTCGTCGTCGCCTTCGCCGCCATTGTCTTTGTCTTCGGCGTTGTTGTCGTCATCATCATCCCTCATGGGGCTGTCTGGGTCCGCGAGCGTATCGCCAGATCGTGTCCTCACAGTGTACAAGGTGGCAGAGGCGCCCTCGGACAAGTTCATCAATGTTTTAGCGACAGGAGCGTTCTCCTCGATTATGAATTTGATGTAAAAGTGGACACTTTCCTTGGAGTTCATGACTGCTAGATCGGTGTTCTTTTCGGTGAATTTGCTGCTATGTTGTAGGTGCTGGGTAACCCATTTTTCCGCAACCTGGTCATTGTCGCAATGCTTCTGCAGAGCGATCCGTAGAAGCTTTTGGTCGTTCGCTGATCTGCTGTACACACCCACTAGCTCAATGTTTTCGTGACTGGCTCCGTTGTCCGCGGGGTCAACGGGCATCTTGAGAACCCAAACCAAATGATCGTCTGTGAATGAGGACATGGTGTATTTGTGGTTGCTGTAACGTTGTGTCAAGGTATACAGGCTCTTGGGGTTGCTTTGTTTTGAGTGAATTGGTAGTTCTCTTAGATGTTGTAGGAAAGAAGACCACTCTCAGAACTCACTGCCGGTGGCCTTTTATACTACCCTTACTGTGACTGTCTTCTTAAGAGTCACTTCATTCCAGGAGTGGACTCTTTTCAGGATGCACAGGTATGCGTGGCTCTCGTGCGTGCTGTACAAAGGTCTTGACTGACCAGCTCTGTGCTTTTGACCCAATACTCCCATGTGCATGGACGATTGAAGGTCACACAAGCTCATCATCCACTTATCGCCCATTCCCGAACACGAGGCTAGGCCTAAGCTGGGTTACGTGAGTGATTTAGTCCCGGTGTCGTGCCTCTTGAATGACTGCTGATGGGGAAGGCACTTGTGTCGGAGCGTGCGTCTTGGAAAGCAACGGCAGGACATTTTCGTAACAATCTCGATTGGATAAAACTATACGAACGCTATTGCCGATAGCAGAAGCGATTTGAAAAGGATAAACGATAGGTATACCCAAGCGCCATAACCGTCTCTGTTATCCAGGTTCTTCTGGTGCTGAACGCCAATGATGCAAACAAAAACCATGCTCTAGACTTCGTATCTTCCTCGGCCTTGCCCAGTGACCTCATTGCCGAACAACCGTCCGGCGTCAACACAGTACCGAGCCTCTCCTTGCCCGTCGCTTCCTACTTCACTACCCCAGCACACAAGCACTGCGTCCAGGATACCCCCGAGAACTCCTTCCATAGCACCTAGAGCGCCCCAGCCGATTGCTGCGCTGATGAGACCCACGACGTATGCGTATAGACTGCCCTTGTATGGCACAGACCCGCCGACTTGGAGCATGCGTGCAGTCGAGACCCATCCACCGAAGCCGAGTGACAATGTTATGACCCAGCGGATGGCGTGGAGAAGCAACTTTGCCAGACGGTATGACTGAATCGATGGTCGACCATGGTCCTTGAACGAGGATGGGCCGAGAGTTGTGGTTGGCGAAGCAGCGGAGATGAAGTTCATCTGGGACAGACCGCGCGCTGCTTGATTGAGAGGCACACCGTGGATGGAAGCGTAGGTCAGGGTAAGCGGGTTCGTCAATGCAGCGATGGGCGTCGGCACGACTGAATATGCGCACATGCCAATCATACCCGCCAGTCGCCTTGGAAGTACGATGAGGGGAAGGCGGACCAGGAGTGAGGTCAGTGTTGACAAACAGATCGTGCCGGCCATGGTGTAGGTCGCGTGACTGAGAGAGGCTTGGACCACCGTTCTAGCCGCGGGCGCAGGCACGCTGTTGCGGTGGAAGTACCATTGAGATACCGTGGCTGCCGTCGTAGCGCGTTGCACACCCGCAATGACCGCCAAACCCCAGAAAAAGTCCAAGAAGAATACAACACCAAGCCACCACGTACTAGCATCGATGATCCATCGGGACTTGTTGCTAGCAAAATGGCCGCCAAGGAATAGACGTGTGAACATGAGGATCCATATCCACGCCCAGAGTATCACAGCAGCTAATGTTGCAATACCCACGAGTAGCAGTGGGAATTGCGCTCTCAGGATCTCACTTGAGAACTCCAACATGCCTGTAGCTTTGTCTAAAGAATGTCGTGCCTTGAAGATGGTGTACACCCAGAACCCAGCGAAGCACAGGGGCCCAAACGAAAGCCAGCGCATCAACCGGTCTTGTACGCTATCGCCATGCCATGACCCTTTGAAGCTTGATGCGAAAGGGTATACAAAGAAGGAAAACGATATCACTGGTACCGCCAGTAGCATTAACTGCACCAAGGGCCGAGCGAAGGACCGAAGTAGCGATAGCCATAGGACTCCGACGATGACCGAAACCAGTGTGTACACACCAATGAGGTGGAACGACGAATGCAGGACAGTATATATCGTGTCGCCCAGTGGGTTCTTCTTGTTCGGTGGCGACTCTTGGAGAAAAGAGATGATCCATGTACCAAAGATGGCACACTGCACGATTATGAAGAGCTCAGCCCAGAAGAAGTTGTGTCGTGGCGCTGATGTGGGGTTCTCTGGTACGTCGTCGGGAACAGTCTGGCGATCCGGACTTATTGGGCGTGGGTGTTCGAGCAGAGTGTCTTCGTCTGTTTCCTGCGGTATCGGTAGAGTGTTCCGTAGGGGACTGCGACCGCGTTTCGGCCTCGGCATGTTGCGAAACTGTTGGAAGGGTGGCGGTGGTTCGTCCTGGTGACCCAGGAGCTCGTCGCGGTCCAACTCTTCTATGCTCCCCCGATCTGTGGAATCAAGCTCCACGTCTACAAGGTGGCCTCTCCCTCTGCTGCTGCGGTCTGTAGTCTCAGAGAGCGGTACACTTGACTCTCTTTCCTCGTCTTCTGGGTTGTTGATAACGGTCGATCTTCCGCGAGCTGGCTTGTCGCCCTTCCAGGAGCTCTTAATCCCTCTCCCCAGACCATACCCTGGAGCTTCATTCTCGTCCCTGTCCGCACCTATCGTATGATCGGACCGTTGGCCATGTTCGTCATCAACTTCAGATGACTCGGATAGATTGCTTGCGCCAAACTGCCGCCGCGAGCGTTGCAGCGCGTATTGGTCTGCTAGGTCCCTGTCGTGCTCGGCATGGTCGTCCTCCTCGCGAAAGTCATCGGTGGCAGAGTAGAAGAGTGGCGCGGGCGCGTTGGATGTTCGTGAAGCGAAGGCAAAGCGGCTCATGGCCTGCGAGTTGTATGGGTTGGGCATGTTGCGACGCTGGAGGTAAGCTTGGGAGGCGCGCGAGGACGGGCGCTGCCTGTCGGGGGCGTTGCGGGTTGAAGTCGGCTCGGGCTGGCCCAGTGACAGCCGCGACTGAGACTGGGAGAGGAACTTGGATGCATCTGGGGAGCACGCACGTCAGTCACGCGAGTCCATAAGCTGCCCAAGACACAGGCGGCGGATCTATCACATGTACCCCGATAAGGCACCAGGTCCACTTACATTCAGAGAACATGATAGATAAAGTGCGCGATAGATGTGTATATGCCTAATGAGCTCGGCGATGGCGGCCAGGTATGTCTATCGCGAGCAAAGTCCCGAAGCGAAGGTGGCTCAGGTGCGAGGTCAGCGGTCGTGAGGCGGTCGAGCGCAAGGGTACCGGAGTACAAGAGGCAGCCGCGGATGACGCAGCCTAAGAGACATGCAGCTGGGGGCCGGCAGAGTGCGCAGTGGCCAGCTGGAGATGGTAGAGATGTCGGTGGTAGGGCGGTAGCAATAGGACAGCAGGGAGCTCTAGCCCGCCTAGGTGGTGAGTGGAGTGGTTGGCCGGGTGCGCTGGAGTGATGGTCGCTCATCTCATCATCGTGCCAAGCCAGCGCGTCGGGTTATCGATTGTCGGGCTCACGTACCTCGTGAACATGCAAGGCACGCGCTATTCCCTAGCCCCCAGAACTGCTCCACCTCACATGCAAAGCATTCGGTAAACTTGTCTGTACGGGTCTGCAGACGATATTATCTTCTTCTAGTCATGCTCTTTTCGAAGCAATTTTGCCATCGTAGTGGCCGCCCGAGTCAAGGCACCCCGATCTCATGTTTGTCAGCCTCATGTTTCATCGTGGCAGTCAATCAAAGCTACAGAGAAAAGCAAGATGAATGCGGCCAAAGCTTGCGCAAAGTAAGTTGCGACATGCTTTTCACGTTTGCCATGGGTTGCATCCTTCAACTGTGGCTCAAGCAGCTGCCGAGCTATGACCGCATGGCCGGGACCCTGACCTGTCTCACTCACTATCGTCCAACTGGCTTCCTGTCAAACACACCCAAAGCTCCGACTTGCGAACTACTTTATACTACATACATTCTGAACAATAAATACCGTCTTCCTGTACATATCCATCTACCTCTACTGGATTTGCCGTGACCATCGCCCTAAGCCTGCACCTCAGGTCGACTGCTACACCAGCCACACGGCGTCACAAATCATCATGGCGCAGCCGTGGGATTACATAGCGAAGATCGTATCGTTAGGCGATTCAGGATGTGGTAAATCAAGTGTATGCGACACCATCCCCGTTACCCAGGGCCTCCATGCTAACGCTTCCCAGCTAACAGTCCGCCTCTGCGAAGGTCGCTTCTCACCACACCACGACGTAACTATCGGCGTAGAGTTCGGATCGCGCATCGTTCCTGTCGGCCCACCAGCGTCGCATTCTCTGAGCATCAACAACCCCTCCAAATCTTCACAAGCGCAAGCGCCCGTATCGCCGTCGAAACAAAAGCAGGAGCAGAAGCACATGAAGCTTTCGCTATGGGATACAGCAGGTCAGGAGACATACAAGAGCATCACGAGAAGTTATTTCCGGGGTGCATCGGGCGCGCTACTAGTATTCGATATATCGCGGAAAAACACGTTCCTCTCCGCCACGTCATGGTTGCACGACTTGCGGCAAATCGCCGAGGAAGGCATCGTCGTGGTGCTCGTGGGCAACAAGTCTGATCTCGCGGGGTCGTCTACCGTAACTGATTCGGACGCCGCGAACAAGCGACAAGTCACAAAAGAAGAGGCTGAGGAGTGGTGTAAAGCGAATGGCGTCATGCAGTACGTCGAGACGAGCGCCAAGAGCGGAGAGGGTGTGGAACAAGCCTTTTTGGAAGTCGCAGAGCGGATATACCAAAATATAGAAGCTGGCAAGTACGACTTGAACGATCGAAGGAGCGGAGTCAAGGGGCCGGGAGGCGGAGCGAATAGGGCGGGCGTCAATCTGAATGACGCGAGTAAAAAGGGGAAGCAACAGGGCTGGGGCGGTTGCTGCTAAACTTCGGTATATACTGATTTGGGCTCAGACCATCCTGCCTATGGGCACATGATGTTGGCATACATTGTTTGGCGTCAACAGAGCAGTGGTCAGCTAGTACATAGCGTTATTGTAATGAATCTATTGTCGCTTCAGCGGGTACGTTACCCCGGCCAGAGATCGCGGTTGTGCTAATCATTCTATTATCTAATA